ATTGTGGAAAAGCGAATAAATGAAGATGCATTTGTCATTCCAGTACTAAAGCCATCCCCCCCGCCCCTTCCATGTTGCATTTTCCTTTCTTCAATAATTCAATGGATTACACCCCTCACATGGAGAGAGATCCACAAATATTTTATTGTATGTGAGCTCCCTTCCATGTGAGGGGGTGTAATGTTGTGTGTATACCATTGTATACACATAGCATTGTCCTCCTTTCTTTTACCCCATTTCACTCTGAAGTCGAGGCATCGTTTAAGTGGCTGGCTTTCCAGTCTATCTTTAGCACCATATCCCTTAATTCATGTATTTTTATGCGTTCAGCTGAACGAGAGGTAGTCAATGCAGCTGAAACAGCATGTCATTTTTCAGTCATTTATCTTGTGTGATTGCATCATGAAATTATAAGTGATCCTCAAGTAATTACTTCTATACGATATATTGGGCACGCCAAAAATCATTAGGATTGTGATTTTGAGTTCGTCGATTTGACGTCTAGTAAAATACTGCTATAGTAATTTCTCTTGGTCCAAGGGTAACACAGTTCATGGAGAAAAAATAGAAGTATCTCAGTTTTGAAATGTAGTGTAAGCACACATAAAAATGAAAGTTTTAGCCTTGAAGCACTTTAGACTCCAGAAATCGCCATAAATAACACTTCTATTTATCAGCATCCTGGACTCTGAAGTTGGCCCATTGGTCTACTTTAGCCTTGAACCCCAGTGGTGAATGATAAATGCATATATATTGGCATCAAGTTTTGATTATTGAGGTCTGACATTTGCAGTTATTGTCAACCTGATCTATATTAAAGTGAAATAAAGGCTTTCTTTCCTTTCAATATATCGCTGGTCTGGATTTACCTGCTAGCCCTTGATTTAGGTAGCCCTTGTTTGAGCCTCATTCTCTGGAAAAATATATATTTTTAATCAGTATTTTGACATCATTTCAATTACATATTCTTCAATAAAATAATATTACACGCAAATTTAAAAATTTTCCTTATTTTTTAATTACGCATTTCTCATCGATACACTATTTAGAAATGTATTTTTTCCCCCTCAAAATGGGGCTCAAACAAGGGCCTATAAATGTATTGTGCAAATTTATCTCTTACCAAGAGTCGATATGTTTTTTGAGTACACTAAACTCTGGGAGACTTCAAGCTCGGTCGAATTTCGAGTTCTTGGAAGTTGTCTCAAACTCTTATTGTTTATCTAATTATGGCAGCCAATCCTACCTTACTTTGTTGTTGGACCATTGCTTTCATTGTTTTTTTATCAATCGCTCCCCATTCAACTTTTACAGCTGCACATCTTAAAGGCAGTTATGCGCGTATAATGGTTAAAGCAGGGGCTATACCTAGCATTTTCTCCCCTTCTTTGTGGGTGGTGTTGGGAGGCAGTGTGGGCCAAGTTATTAATCTTTTGAAGTGTACTAGTAAAATAATAATAATAATTATATATATATATATAATTACAAATTTGGAGGGATCCACAAATATTATTCGCTTATTTACCGCTCAATTTAACATTTTATTTCTATTTCAAATGGGCACCGTGCTTAACTTATGTTAAGTATCGATGACATGACACAAATTAATTGGTAAATTAATAAATTCATACTATCTACCATTAACATATTCACCAATCAATTGATGTGTCATGTAACCAGTAAACACCGGTGCCTATTAGATCATTTTCATATATATATATAATGCGAGGTAGATAACTGAATTATGAAGGTTAGGAATCTTGACTGCAGAGAAAACAATATGAACAAGATTCTGAAAGCATATGTTTATAGGGTTTTGCTATATGTGCAATTGGGGTTGACAACCACACACATGGGAGGTCGTGAGTCCCCCCTCCTATGAGGAGGTTGTCAACCTCAGTTGTACAATTAGCAAAATTCATGTTTATAATAAGATGGCATGTCCTGGTCCTCTTAGTTCAATTGTTTGGGGTATCCTGATCTTAGTAAGAAAGGCTGGAATTTTTAGAATTTGTTGGAAAATGAGTATATTTGCATACTTATTGGATAGAAATCATAGAATAAAGAAAATGTGGGCATATGATTTATCCTGCATATCTTACTATACAAGAATTTCAGCAAAATATTTAGTTTATTCAGCTTGCGTCTATCAAATCACTGTTGCTAACCATTTTTTCACTTCACATGGATTTTTGTCCCCCAGAAACGAAACGAAGAGTTGGGAAGGCCCGAAAAGGAGAACCAAGCTGAATTATGAAGCTAAAAATTTTGATGGTAGCTGAAAAGGTGACATCTAACAAGGATATAGCATCAACTAAAAACTCTTTGCAAGAACTTGAAGAAGACTTCATGTGAATGCTAAACACACCGAACAATTGGACTGAGCTTGCTCCTTACTACATTGGGCTTGTTCGGTAGTAATTATGAAAATTGATTTTTTAATCGTTAAAGAGAAAATTTGATTCCACCTGTGAGAGAAGAAGTCAAAAATGACGGTTGAGTTAGAAAAGTAACGATCAAAAAATAGATTTTTTGGAATGAAAAAATCAGTACTAAACATGCACACAATATGACAATCATAACCACTGGAAAAGGACTAGAAAGATCAAGAGAAATGAAGGGTAATTTTTCAGTTTTTGTGTACTACGTACGACGATTAAATGCAGTCTTGAACTCTCGAATTGTGTTAGTAAAATCTCTGGAATACCAGATTTGCAGTTTGAGAGGGAAAGAATCTATTTTCTTGAAATTGGATAATAAATAATTTTACACACTTAAATATTAAATTCACAATGTGTGAACAATTATGTATGTTCGATTACTGCTCCATTCTTTCTAGTATCTTATGGTTTGCTTAGCATGATTATTTTTTAGTAATTTTAGGAACTTGTGGTTTGTGAATACTTATGAGCCCCATTTTTTAGGAAATTGATTTTGGAATTGTGATTTTTTTTTTTTTTTAATTTTTGGTTGAAAATGTAGGGATAAATTTTGAATTTATGGGTAAAATTATTTATTAGAAAATGTATGGTTGAAAATGAGTTTCTGGACAATGAGATTCAAATAAGAGTATTATATGTACGAACAGATATAATTCATTTGTTCTCTATTTCTTCCAATTCAATGTATCAAATATGTCCTAGCCACTCTTTTGCATTTGTCATTGGAGCTCAGCACTGGTTTGTTGGCTATTTCTTAACATTTTCATGCATTTGATGATGTCCATTTTCTATGATGAAATCCTAAATTCCCAAGCCTATATGGGCTTTAATTGATGTTTGAAAAAGTTTTTCATTTGTCTATAATGATAGACAATCCCATCTATATTATAGAAAAAATTATGTCCGAAGAAATGATTCATCAAAATAATGAGTCACCATTGATATCGACACATTTGAGGTCGCCAATAATTCAATTCTTTACAATGTTTGAGAGGGATAAGATCGTTATCATTGGATTCCCACATTCACATGTGGACATATTCGTTGATGGCTTCCTTCCAAAACGAAGTATCCAAACTTTCACCACCACTTATTTACATTTCGAAACTCTTTAAAAGCTTTGTCTTCGTGGGAATCCGCTGATAAGGATCTTCTCCCTCTCAAAATGGTAGTGTATGTGTGTGTGTATATTTTTTGGTAAAAAAAAGGAGGAAAATTTTGACCGAATTATTGGGCATAACATTGAAATGTTTTGAAAAAGAATAAGTTTAGCTAACATTGGTGGTTGATCACATGTGGCGTTAAATGATAGCATTGTTGATGTAAAATATATGTTCATGACACGTTAAATGATATTAAATGGTACGCCTTTCTTGTTTGGGATTGTTTATAATTTGTTGAGATTTAAATTAATAAAAATGGGTGGTGAATACGTGAGTAATGGTTGTGAGTCATACAAAATGTGTTAATAAAGTCTGATCAATATAAATCGTGACCTAAGGAAATCCAAATGTGCATATTGTACAAGTCACATATTTCTGCGTTTAACTGGACGTAAAACTTTGTGCTACCTATACTAATATTCTAGCGTCATGGATGCTGGTAACATTATTTCTCATTTATTAGGCCTGATATTTAGGAATAGGAGCATCTCAATGATTATTTAAACCAAGATCATATCCAGAATTTTAAAAAATAAATAAATTTCTAATACTCTCATAGCATAGAGTACTCACTCTCAATACCCTTTGCCACTATTTAATTTACATTTAAGATCCAGCATATTAATTGGAATAATGTTATTTATAGTCGTTCACTGCGGTAGTTACCCTATGTGACATCCTACATGACGATTTGTGATTTGATGTAATAATTTTTTTTTGCTTCATATCAAATCACTAATCGTCACATGTATGGCATGACGATTGCGATGGTAAATGATTACAAATAACATTATTTTATTAATTGAAATCACAAATCAATGAGTAATAAGCATGACAATTATAAAGTAGTTGTGCTAGGTTTTTATACTTTGTGAATACTAGAAATTTTCTCAAACTGGAAAAGAGAGTCAAACCTTGAAATCAATAGAACTCAAAACTACTACCTTTTTATCCACCAATCATTTCTATTAACTTATAATTTCTCCCAAACAAGCACTAGGTCGAGCCAAACCCAACATTAGGACATATCCATTATATGAACTCAATGTTGTTTCATCATCTTATCAATAGATTCCTCGAACCTGGAACCTAGTTAAAAATTCGAGAGAAATTATTCGAAGAGAGTGCTCCTAACAAAATACTCACATACGTGTCAATCGGGTCACATAAAACTGAACCATGTCTCAACACTCTTGGGATGAGCCTTCAGGACAAATGCATCATTGTTGATACATCCAAATTTCATTTATGTGTATTCATTTTTGGGTAACTCGTGAGGCGCGTCAATGCAGGTGATCGGGGACCTTAGCAGCCCGGCTCACTTTAACGACACCAAGAGCACACCCTCAACCCAATGCGTTTGCACAAAAACCAACATTCACACACACACATTAAATGAACAATGAAGAGACGGCATCACAATGCTAATATATAAACTTAGAGTTCATTTCGAATTATTTTCATTTCTAATTATTCTCATAACTAAATGCCTCTAAAACCTTGGGACACTTCCCTCCTACACAGTATCCATAAGTTCATTACCAATTATTGTTGTTTGCCCCCATGAATCGAATGAGCTAATTGTGTTAGGACTTTACACTGCAGCTGGTTTGCTGGTTGCATGCTTACAAGCCATGCTCTGTTTTTTGTTCTTCAGCTCATCTCCCGCTACTAGAAAGAATGCAGTGTGCCTGAGTGGTAAGGAAAAAAATCTCGAATCAATATAATCTCCATATGAACGAGATGTTCTAAATTTCAAATGAAATCAGTAAATAAAAGAATAAAGTTTGGGATCATGATGATGAATCATAATCCTATGTGGTGACAATGTGATATTAATAGCATGTTCGAACCCCATTGAATGGTTAAGAATGCATTTTGGAATAGTAGATTGATATAGAATGTGATTAAAAAAAAAAATTTTAAAAATGTTTTTAAGTTTGTATCTAATATTATTTTATCGAAGAACGTGTGGTTGAATAGAAGAGAAAGAAAAATATATTTTGAAAAAAGAATCAAAGTCCAATTAAATGCGGGGACATGGAACCTCTATTATTGAACCTATCATTCAATATCATCTAAACATGATGATACATCATCACGATGACAAATAGCATTACTATAAGTAAAGTTTTACCTAAAAAAGTTCATCATTTTAATTTTGGAGTCTGAGTCAATGTCTGTAGTGTTGTCCAATGCTTGTTCCATGTGATGCAACCACCTCTCTGCAGCTTGATGGGTGATGGGGAATGGACGATGGCGTGCAATCAATGCGGGGTGTCCTAAGAAAGTCGGGGAATGAAGTTTTAGATTGAAAAAATTTAAATATAAAAGTAATTTAACAGTAGATACGCAAAACAGCACCTCTTGATTGCATTAAGAATTTACAAGAAAATTCTCTTTTTTGTAAAATGTATATAACTTATGTATGCAAACATGGATTTTATGATAAATGGTTTAATTGATAAACATTTAGAAATTATTTGTCGATAAGTGGACAATTGTGGATCCATTGGAATGTGTGGCTGAAAATAAGTTTGACAATTCATAAACGGCTTATAAATTATGCCAAACAGACACTTAACTGGCCCAAAGAAGCATGAAATTTAAGATAAAACAAATATTGATATTATTATCTTCCTATGAGTGAAATTTCAACCTTTTCTTCTCCTATCAAATGAAAATGAAAATCAAAGATGCTAACATCGTCCTTGAAATCAAGACAATTTTAAGAAAAACTTAACAGATAGATACCAAAATATTCCCATTATTTATGTTTGTATATCCCTTTGCTCATAAAAATAAATAAATAAATAAATGGGATCTCATCAAAAATCAGAATGAAACTTTGGTAGTTGATTTTGCATTCAGCAGAAGCAGGCAGCCATTCTTCTATATCGTACTCATCTGCGCCTATATTATCAGGGTAGAATAATATGCAAAGAAGCAGATAAAAACAAATACAAATTTGTCCAAGCCAAATTTGTTAGGATGAAATAGTAACTACAACTGTGATTTCGTGCGTTGATTACAAGCACTTGGAAAACAGTTCAAAATTTAATTTGAGAACATTCATACAGGACTCCAAGGAGTACACAATGTAATAATTAAGTTAGCTATAAACATGAATTGCAACAGTTCAACTGTATTAAATGTGTTTGAAAGCTTTGAATCTTAGCATTATTTATTTATTTATTTATTTTTTTGGAAAGGCAAAATTTTGAATCTCAGTCTTTCCTGACATTAAAAATCAAAATTATTGTTAACTCCAAGAATTATGAGTGCAAATATTTCATCTTCTGGCAGTGAGTAAATGTGGAAAATCAAAAAACAAAGAAATCCACAAACTTTTTATTTAGTCCTAACAATTGGATCTAAGTTTTATCTCAGAGAACTTGAGAACCTAGATGGGTAATAGGAATCCTTATAAGATCTCAATTTCATTACATTTTTCCCTTTATCAAGTGACGTTAAAACAAGAAACAAATTGCTTTATGCTGTGATCAGAAACATGTTTCTCACTCCAAGACATTCTTAACAATTTGAAAGGAAACTCATTGTCTGTGCTAAAAGAAAGAAAACAGTTACGAGGAAATGGAAATTCTAACTTCCATCAAATTCACAAAAAAGTTCAGAAGGTTATGTAATCAATCTCTTGAATTTCAAAACAAATAAAGGAAAATATGCAACCATCATAAGATTCAAAACAATATGTTATTCTTTTTAAGGCCAACATGCAACCATAATTTATGCAATTCAAGTAAATGTAAATTTCAAGCTACCTCTTCTTTGGGAGTACAGAGGAGGCCCACCCATTCGTTGAACGAAGAACTCATATTGATTTTGAATAGCATCTTCCTTTCTAGAATTCGCAAAAATTGATCGAAACCATTCTTCTTCATCATCATAAACTCTGTTTTCCACATCAAGAAAAAAGTTTCTTATAAGATTGAACCCCGTTAACGAAGTTGAATCAGTCATCAAAAATTAGCTAAACATAAATATAAGACTCAATTAGGTTATGATAAATCTAGGAAGACATAGTCGTCGAAATTATTTACCCAAAACAAATTACTACTTAAAACTAAAAATCAAAGAAAAAGGATTTAAAAAAAAAAAAAAACCAATTCTTATTCAGATTGTTATCTAATTAAAAATCGCATATTCATAAATAAATGGATTATATGCCCATAATTCCCTAACAATATTTTCCTTGAAACTGAGAAGTAAAATGTAATTTAAATACTGCTCTTCAAAATCCCATATAAAAAAGTGCGCAGGATACGTATTTTGAAGCACTCGCTAATTCAAATAGCAAATTTCAATATTTAATGGAAAAAAGAAAAGAGCAACTAAGAAACCTGTTGTAGAAATTGGTTGAGAGGTTTATGAAGGTCTGAAGGCCCAATTTCTGGTAGAGATTGGTTTGATCAATGGCAAAAGCATCATTTTGATTCACCCCACTCCACTCCGACGCCTTCTCCTGCAGTGACTGCATTTTTGTGCTTCTGAAATTTGCTTATGGGCGCTGCAGAATCGGGGTGGGTTTATATATGGCCATATGGGGGTCGCGTGGGAGCCAAGCTTTCTGGGCCACACTGAATATGGAGGCTGAAAGTGGAACTGTGGGCCGTTGATTTTGGTGATAGATTCCTAAATAAATTTCATGGTTTTCACTGTCAACTATCAACATACTGAGGCAATGATTTGTCACTGCTGCTTAACTAGAAAGCACATTAAAAAAAAATTAATAATAATAATAATAATAATCCTTGAAAATTTGTAAAAGCATGGTGACATTTTTTAGCTCATATTGACAATTATTATTTCAAAATTCTTTAGTTTCTGCATTCAATTTTAACCATATATTTACACGATATAATATTGGAAAATTTTCATAAATGCCACTAAATTTGAAAATGTGCAAAAAATTTTCATTTGCACTAAATTTGGTCAAAAATATCACTTTTGGGTGTAAAATGTCCATATTATCCTTAGTGACACCTTTTTATGAGCATTTTCATGCTTGATTTGAAAGTCATTAATGTTGTGATGTGATGATTT